GAACCTTGGACATTCTTCATCATCTACTGATTGGAACAATAGTCAGCTATAATCATTCAAGTTCGTCAGTGATTTATTATCTCATACCTCTCTGGGGGCTCGCAAAGTCTTCTCTTTTGGCGGTTTGGGGATGTGGACATCTTTCGTTGGGTCCTTGAGCAACTTGGCCAGCTGTAGCCGCTGCTGTTCCAGTGGTGTTGGCGCATGGCGATTAACTGGAAGAGCTTCTTCGGGTAATGCTGGAGTCGATGGTTTTGAAGAAGAAGCTGAAGATGCCATTAAGTAGGATTGAAGCGGTGGATGGTGGTGCGTCTAGTCCAAAGTCGAACACGGCGTGAACGGCGTTTGTCGGTGTGTGCATTAGAGCTGAAAGGATCGACACGAATCGGGGCGATTCATCCTAACTGCCATCTAAACTGGCTACATCGGGTGTGAAATAATAAACATATATTTTTAGCCGAGCTATACTCTTCCGAATTCTTTTGCGATATTCTCATTGAACCTCGTCGACAGATCACCATTCCGCGATTGCCTGGCACTCAGGCTTAGGACCCAGCCCGAAATGCCTCCAAAAAATGGGGGATCTGGTAAGCTTCGGAATACAATCACTTCAAGCTTTCAAGACCAGCTATATGGCCTGCTATTCAAACTCGGGCTAAGGTGCTTATCGGTGGAAAACCTGCAACGAGCCCTTAGCAGGACTAATTGGCGGGAGAAGCGCCTTGTCGGCGATATGTAAACATGCTTCATTGCAGGCAGGCTTGAGTTGCAAAGAGCTTTTGCCCGAATCGTATGACCGAGACCACCAAGCGGGGGCAAGGCAGACTAACCCCGTTGTGGATTCGACTCGCTGTGCGCGCCTACAATCGCATATCTATCCTTCAAGAGTTATTCGAACAACAGAGTAACAACCGGTTCTCGCCCATTGGGCGCTGCCCTTTTCACGTAAAGCACCATCGTTTTTATCACGTTGTGCTTTGCCTCGCCCGAAGCGCCACGGGAGATACCATATCTGTCACGGCAAAACGAGGCCCACAAAAGGCGCATTAATCGGTCTTAGTATTTCGGTTCGACAGATGTTACTGCGCCCAATCGTGCTGCGTCGATCTGATCGATCCAACCGTCCCCCAATCCCCCGAGCCTCCCCCTCCAAACAGCGCTGCGTATATGCGTTTCTCTCCCTTTGGTTAGACTAGCTATACGACCAGGTTTTACTGTCATCTCAGGCGTCATCGGCGAAGAAAGAGACGTCGTCCCGTGGGGTGGAACAGCTCGATCCTTCGTCCCGTATGCATTCGAAGGACAGAACCGACAGAGTTATAATGGTTGCATAATCGCATTAGATGATTAGTATAGAACTACAGCGATGTACACGCACGAACTCAGAGAGGAGGAGAGGGACAGAAAGCCAGGACGATGACGGCCCGATATCAGGTAATACTGAAGGGACAGTGTGCACGTAGACTAGTAATGTGAAGACAATGCTCCCACTTGGGAAGATAGTACTCCAGGGAAACAGGCATTTTCTCGAGCCTGTCGCATCGGGTCTGCCACCCGTCACTAACCCCCTCCTAAGCTGCCCTTCCCGGCACCCGCACAACAGGATCTCTGACGATACGCATGTGAGCCGCTGATGATATCGGTGCGTTGAACATGATCTACCTTCCCAAGTCTGCAGTCCTGCTTTCTTGAACTTTCTCTCCTTCTAGTCTAGCTGCTGCCTGGGGAGGAATTTTGTGTTGAACACACCCCAAAACGTATGCAGCAAAGCTCAACATGAAGGTGCATGGGGAGAAGAGGAAGCACAGGATGGTCCGTAAGGGTGGTTTGGCCACGTCCGCGAGTGGTGGTCCGTCATTGCGGAAAGCGCTTGGTAGGTTGTCGACTGAAGGGGGGACATGCGCGACTCCATCCGCGATCCTGCGAAGCTGTGGCATGGTCTGATCAGAGATAACGATTCAGAGCAAGTAATGAGGCCAAGAAAGTAGATGCAGGAGGTCTGGCAGAGGTTTAGTGGGAGGCAGGGGGTTTTGATGTGTACATTGAGCATCTGATCACATCAAGCCAGCTTATATTCTTGTGGACTGGAGAGATGGAGTGCCCTCTTTATCCAATGTATATATTCTCTGGTTTCATGTATGAAGGCCGCGTGTTAAAGATCAGGGCACGAGCGGACAGGGCTGGGAAGGGATAATGGTTTCCGGAGACCCGCGCCGAAACCAGGACCGCCCGTTCTAGTTAGTCATGTTTGATGAGAGGAGCTGGAATTCATGTATCTTCTATGTGGAGCTCAATCCAACCCTTTGGGGTTTGCCACTATTGCTAAGCTGTAAGAGTATTGCATCCGTCTACAAATCGGTGCAGGTCCAGGATAGAGGCGACCGATTGCTGCATATCGTTGAGATCCTCGGCCTGTACCATCACAGCCCAAGTCTACTAGTAGGAAGCAACTCCTCTAGCAGAGCTAGAAGGCATCATGGCCAGTAAATCCGGTCCTGTAACCGAAACTGTGCTTAGTGGTGGAAAAAGCGCTCAGTCTTGTGTGCAGGCATCGACGAGAGCGTTTTGGGAGCATTTCAAAACCGTGGCTTGTGGTTCACCGCTCCTTGAGGGGAAGGTGGGTGCTCCCTTGGTGGTGTTGTACATAATCAACCTTCACCTCGCCTCCCTCTCAACCTGAGAACCGTCTTTGTTTTCATCCCCGTCGATTTCACAGATCGCCATTGCCCGATCGCGATTCATCACCGCTCACCTATACCGATGACGGTAGACTCTTCAGCGTCTTATCGGAGGCGGGTCCTTCAGCTTTAGGTCTCGCGTGGTATCGGATATTGGTGCGCTGTAATGTTCAAAGGCCAGAGATCTCGGCCGTAGCGATCTAATAAGTTCAGTACATGATCGAATGTTGGTTGTTTAGAAGTACAGCGTCTAGTCTGGGAGTGCTCTCGGGATTGGGGACTATCCCTAAGAAGTGTAGTTATGTCATACTAGGGCAACACGCACTGCAGGTGCCGTCGGCCGGTGGCAAAGCCGCTAGCGCTCCAACGAAGCGGGTATACAAGGCTCATGACCTCCGTTGCTAGGTTTGCGGCAAAAGAACGCCAGTGCCCTGTCATAGCCGAAGATTCCAATATCGCTTGGGTTTCCCGGACCTTCTCATCATGCCTGAACGGGAATATTCTGTTTTCTACGTTGTAAGCCTTCCCAGCAGGACCGTGATCCCCCCCCCTCATTCCTCGTCTCTCTTTGCTGCCCAATCGTAGAGCTTCAACTCAAGCAGAGACTGTTAAATGGCACCGCAACTGATAAGCCACAAATAATGCATGCTGCGTCTCAAAAGTTACCTGGGGCGAACCTCTAGCGCTGTCCGGCTGCCCCTTCAGCGGCATTAAATTCCTTCCTCCAAAAAAAGGCCCACAGCATTGCGAAAAAATGGAGCACCAGGGAGTCGAACCCTCCGCCTAGACCACCCGCCAACCATTCCAACCAATTATTAAGTAGAATAATGCATGCTGCGTCTCAAAAGGTACCTAGGGCGAACCTCAGCGCTGCCCGGCTGCCCCTTCAGCGGCATTAAATTCCTTCCTCCAAAACGGCCCGCAGCAAGCGGAAAAAATGGAGCACCAGGGAGTCGAACCCGGCACCTAGACCACCCGCCAACCATTCCAACCAATTATTAAGTAGAATAATGCATGCTGCGTCTCAAAAGGTAACTAGGGCGAACCTCAGCGCTGCCCGGCTGCCCCTTCAGCGGCATTAAATTCCTTCCTCCAAAAAAAGGCCCGCAGCAAGCGGAAAAAATGGAGCACGAGGGAATCGAACCCTCCGCCTAGACCACCCGCCAACCATTCCAACCAATTACTAAGTAGAATAATGCATGCTGCGTCTCAAAAGTTACCTAGGGCGAACCTCTAGCGCTGTCCGGCTGCCCCTTCAGCGGCATTAAATTCCTTCCTCCAAAAAAAGGCCCACAGCAAGCGGAAAAAATGGAGCACCAGGGAGTCGAACCCGGCACCTCTCGCATGCTTTCCCACGGTTGGAAATGCGAAGCGAGCGCTCTACCGATGAGCTAGAACCCCTTTACAGGCGTCGAGCGGGTTTATTTCCCTATACCATTGGCTTAATGCAAAGCCTGAAGCTATTCCGCACTCGCTTGGGTATGTCCGACGTCGAAATAGGAAGGGATACATGTTTTGGATAGGTTGGAATGTCGTGGAATTGAACCCTTTGCTGATCCCTGCGTGGCGGTTCATCGTCGGAACGAGGCGTGGAACAGGATCTGCCTTGCCCGAGTGTGCGAAACCAGCCACCCTCGCATACTGTGCCGAAGCGAAGCACATCATTTTTGGCCTTTATGAAACGGAGAATACGCGCGCGAGGCTCTGCCATTTGCACGTTTTGGCGTGAGGAAGGTCCCTTGCTGCTCGAACCTAGCACCGGGCAAGCGAGCATCCCCCCCCGAGGAGTAGCCTCTTAAGAAATGACTCTAGTACCTGCTTGTCAAGCAGAGTAATACATATCTCTTAAATGCGTTTGAGAAGTGACGCGATACCTGGGCATACCGATGGCGCGTCTGGCCATGTCGTGATCTGACCACTTCCCGCTTCTCGCCCTGAAAAGTACTGCCGACTCAATCATTTCCGTCACTACATCTAACTGGAGAGCGGCCGTGCGCGTATTGGCGAGGCTGTACGAGCGGCCTTTACCCCCACCGCATCTGGAAAACTGTGAGTGGCATCCAGCTTCATCCTAGTCTACTGCAAGTCGCCCTCCCAGTCCTTGTACCCCCGTGGGAATCAGCGCCTAGCTTCGATCCCACCACCAAACCAGATCGGAACAGCCCCAAGAACCCACAATGCAAGGTCTACAACAGACTCGTACATGTGGATGAGCTGAAGTAGACCCGTCCCAGCTCTCTGTGTGTTTACCAAAGGCTCACATCCCAATGCCTTCACCTCAACCCCCGACACACCGTTAGTCCTAGACTGTTTCGTCTTTTTGCTCAGTAAAGAGGCCCAGAGCCTACTAAATAGTTTCGAAAACATGACTAGCTACCTTCTTTAGCATCGGTATAAGGAGGAAACACCCTTTGGAGGGGGGAGGGGAGAGCGCGTCGCGTTTGTTTAGGGACGGTAAGTTCTCGGAAATTGGGATTCCAGTTCCCACGGCCCCTACAGAGTAGGCGAGGGCGAGTTAAAGGAGACTGATAACAAGCACTTACCCCCCCCCCCCAAAGTTGTCAGTCCGCACCGGAGACTAGCTTCATCCGAAGGCCGCACTCAGCCAGACACCGAGACAAGCTATGGCAACGCAAACCCAACTAATATGCGGATTACATTTAATTCTATCTTCTAATACGGTGCTCCACTGTTTCCTGAGGTTTGCCAATAGCCTGCCATCCTACCAAGTGTGATACGCTCTGCTTTTCCGATATGTTCAACAGCGCTTTCTAATCTCTGATACGGCCTTTTGTGAGGGTAAATAATTTATTGTTTTCCGTATTTGGGGAAATTGGGGCTTCAAGGGCCGCTTTGGGTGGAGTGCAAGGTGTTGCCCATCTCTGTCTAAGCTGATGCACAGGCCTGCGTTTCAGAAAGCTCCTAGGATGGCTCTTTATCGATCGCTCAGGTCCGAGAGTAACTCAGACATCGCTTCGAAGGATAGATATGCTGATACCCTCCGCTTTCGGTCGAGGCAACAAGTAGGTCTCGCCTCTGAGCACGTAGAAGCGACGTCAAAACTTAAGCCGGGGTCAATAGACATCATTGCCCTCGGAAGAAGTAAAGTATCTTAGGTATGTCAGACTGCCGTGAAATGTACTACGACACTTTGAAGGCCAGGCAATGTGGCAGAATTTCACTCGGTCATGTCGCTCGTACGCTCTTCAGCAAGGATGGCCGTCGCTGGTTCGCTGAGATGGCGAGAACTGATGCTGGCTCGGACACTTCCGCAGTCTGTGCAATCAGGACCACAAGGATGTTTCTGGATTGATTAATATAGTCAGGCGAGTGATCTTCGCCTCCATGC